TTGAATCAAGAGGATTAGTGGCTTGGGACAAAGACAGAAAAGACTGAGTGAAGGTGGGGATGTGGTGCCTGCAGAGTGCCCTCTGCTCTGACAGAGCCCAAGGCCAGTCAGAGCCAACCAGTGTCCTCAGTGTCACATGTTGTCCAGTTCACAGAACTGGGACACTGAGGCCCAGGCAGGGCCTCCGGGGGGCGGCGGAGATCTGAGAGTCTTAGGGGCGGCCTCCAGCGGCAGAAATAGGGCTTATGTCATCACCAGGAAGCCGAGTGGTAACCACAGGCCCCGGAAACCGTCCCCCAACCCCACCCAGCCAGCCGCCTAATTGGCTCTTAGCTTTGAAGACCTCGTAGCGGGGGTGGGGCAGGGGCTGAGGAAGTGGCAGAGGTGACATGTGCCTGGCATCCTCATTCTTGCAGCTCTGGGGGCATCAGGCAGGATGGGGACTGACCAAGCGCATCGCTGGCAGGGTCATGGCGCCTTTGTCCGTTTCTCCTTCTGGGCCTCAGTTTTACCTGCTGTAGAGTGGGAACAGAGGGCTTGTTCCCGTCTTTCATTTGTGGAGAACAGCGGTTGGGATGCCATTTAAGGCATATGACCTTGAAGAGCAGAGTATGAGTAAACTGTTTTAAAAATAAGCCCAAACTCACAGGATACCTAGGAGGTGTTTTTCTGGGTTAAGCCATTGTGACTGTTAGGTAAAAAGAAGAGTTCACCTCGAGCCCTGGATGGATGGATGGATAGATGGGTGGATGGATGCGTGAGTGGGTGGATGGGTGGATGGATGCGTGAGTGGGTGGATGGGTGGATGGATGGGTGGGTGGGTGGATGGGCAGATGGATAGGTGGGTGAGTAGGTGGGTGGGTGGGTGGATGGGTGGGTAGGTGGGTGGGTGGATGGATGAGTGAGTGGGTGGATGAGTGAGTGGGTAGATGAGTGGATGGATGAGTGGGTGGATTGATGGATGGATGGGTGGGTGGATGGGTGAGTGGGTGGATGGGTGGATGGGTAGATGGATCGGTGGGTGAATGGGTGGGTGGATGGATAGATGGATTGCAGAATGCACTCTGTGATGGAGGGACGCTGAGCTCAGAGGGGCTGAGCACCCTCGTCTCCCGCACACTCACTGAGTGTGGGCGTCACACCTGCGTTATCCCACTCAGCCCATGGGGGCCCACAAGGTACAGGTGTCATTCCCCTGGTAGAGATGGGCACACGTTCACAGCAGTAAACGGAGGAGTCTGAACTTGAACCCAGGGCCCTTGTCACTGCAAGCACCGCTCCTCCTTCAGCTGCGCTTTGCTGTGCGTCCACGTGCCCCCGTTTCCTCAAATGCTTCTACACACAGTTGCCGTGACTGTGACTGTGACCGTGGGAGGGGCTGGACCGATGTGGCGAGGGAGGGGTCTGAGCCTTCTTTGTGGGGCTGCCTGTGCCCACGTGCTCGTGGGTTTGGTGCTCCCCTTTCCTGAGATCTGTGCAGCTGTCTCTGGGATTCCTCTCCCTGCCCGAGTGCTGCCTCACCCCGCTCTCGGGAAGTTCTGGGACAGCCGAGTCTCCTCTCGCTCCCCCTGCCCCCACCGAGTGTCCTAGGTCTTCTCTCATTTTACCCTCCAGACTGTTGGGAGGAAGCAGGGTCTCTGAGAGGCTGCTGGGGGTGGAGGAGAGGAGGCTTCCCTGCCAGGGGAGGGGAGCAGGCTGGGACTGGTCAGCCATGGCCCCTCTGTCGCAGCAGGAGGGGGCAGCGGAGCCCACAGCAGGTGGCTGCGCTGTTGGCTGCAGTGTTCTGCCCTGCCTGTCCCCGCTCCGGCTGCTCTGGGTGTGGAAGGGATGGCGTGCCCAGTCCCC